GAGAGAGAGAGAGAGAGAGAGAGAGAGAGAGAGAGAGAGAGAGAGAGAGAGAGAGAGAGAGCAGCGAAGTCGGCAAACCGCATTGCAGGCCCCTACCTCTGATAACCAAAGAAGGATGATGAGGTCGAATTCTGGACTCCACAGCAATAAACAATATACGTGGAACGCACTCAGGATGAGCAATGCCAGCCACAAGACAGACCACTCACTCAGGCTGGTGGACAGTCTCAGACTCTGCCATATGGGCAAGCTACTCTTTTGTGGTGCTGCATGATAACAGGAGATCCTGCAAAGACTTCAAACTCCCGGCGATTACTCATGTCAACATCACCCCATAAGCCAAAGTGTAGGCCCTGTCTCGCAGTATAGCAAATTGTCTGTTACATCAGCGGTGACATCACATTGTATCGGATGAATAAGCCTTTCTGTCATGCACAGTCTACCTCTGATCATTCACCTCCTAGAAAGCATAGATTTGTCAAAGTCAAGAAGACAACTCACCCCCACAGCAGCAGCTCCCCTTTGCTTGAAGCCAAAGATAAGGTCAACCCATTCATGGAGATGGTCGCTTACAATATCACTTTCTAAGGCCTCCCTGTTCTTGCGAACAAATGTTTCCGGCGACCCCTATCACATGACCAACAATTCAAACAGTCAGTCCTTCAAAACAGTGGTGCAGCTCAAATGGCAACCATCAAGTTGGAAAAAAAATTGTCCAAGACAACAAGTTCCCCTTCCATCCATGCGAACCTTACACTACTACTCAGGTGATGCACAATGGGTATCCTGTAAAACCATATCACACCAGAACACTCTTTCTGGCACTCTATGCCCCTGTTTCAAAAGAGGAAAGAATACCAAGACGTCCATCTCTATACTCTCAAAAACTGTAAAGGGCCCGACATGACGCTTCCCAGCGGGCCCAGGAAAAATCGGTGCCGCACGGCCCGACAGCTTTGCCGTACCGCATGCCACCAAGCCGTGCCTTCTTTTTTTTTTTGGGCCAATGTTCTGGAAGCCGCGGCGGGTAGGCGGGGCCGGCCGATCAGAAGCAAATGCGTTTCCGTTTTTTTTTTCACTCAGGGGACCCAGAGGAGCGTTTCCCTTTCGTGCTTCAAGGTAGGCGGGGGGGGGAATGACGAGTGGGAGGACTACAAAAAAATGGGAGGGAAGGAGGACGGACACGACTTGCAGCAGGAGGACTAGGAGTAGCGGGAAGAACAACAAGTGGGAGGAGGACGCCGAATGGCAGGTGTGGCAGGATGAGCAGAATGAAGAGGGGAAGGAGGATCATCGGGATGACAAGCCGGAGGAGGATGACGGGGAGCGGGAGGAGGAGATGAAGAGTGCAAGCAAGAGGAGGGGATGGCATGGTGGCTACTCAACATTTGACACGTATCTGGATGGCATCAAGTGCTAGATGTATTTCGACTGATCGTACTGTTTTTTTTTCTTTTTTTTCCCACAGGGGCCATCCTAACAAGAGATGAGGAAGGAGAAGGGACAATCGGCGTGGAAGATGGATGAAAATGGGTGGCGGAGGCGGAGGGGGAGGAGGAGGGATGCACACAACCACAAGGAGGAGAGAGGAGCAGAAGCGAGGACAGTAATGACGATGCAGGGGGGGCCCCAGCATAAGGGGGACAGATGACCCACAGGAGAAGGAGAGGAAGGAGGAAGGAGCGGATGGGGAGAGGAGAGGGACGAGGTCCGGCTGATGGACGGGCCATGTTAATCTTTTGTGTATAGCGAGTGGACAGGAGGGAGAGGAAGGAGGAAGAAGCGGATGGGAAGAGGAGTGGAGGAGGACAACACGGATGAGGAGGAGCAAAACGAGGGTGCGGACGACGATCATTGGGACAACGAAACTGGAGGAGGAGGAGAAAAGTGCTGAGCAAGAGGGGGAGGATGAACAAAGGGAGGAGCGGTGAGGATGGACGCAGGAAGCTACTCAAAATTCGACACGTATCTGGGCGACTTTATGCACCACGATACATTCCGTCTGGTCAATTTTTTTTTTTTCTTTCCCACGAGGGCCATGATAATCTTCTGCTTTCCCGTGAGGGTCATGCTAAGCCAAAGGGAGATGGATGACCGACAAGAGGGAATGAGCGGACGGGAAGAAGAGGGGGAGGATGACAGCCCGGAGAACAAGGGAGTAGGAGGGACTTGGGAAGAAAACGGTCAGAAGCAGGACGAAGAGGGGGGGGCGCCCATGCCCATGAATGTCTGCCTCCTCCTCCTTCAGCGACTCTCCCCACATACCCGTCTCTTTCTGTCCCGACAACTCTTCCCTTCCACCTCTTTTTCCACCCTCACTTTCTTTTTCCCCGAACATACGTTTTCCCTACTGCAGTCACTCACAAGGTGTGTTTCAGGATCACGATGATCAATCAATGGCACACACTGAATGTACATAGAATCAAGCGTTTTTTGCTTCTCCCGAAGGTTTTCTGTTACTGTGCCCTGTGTTCTATGGTCTCTCTCTCTCTCTCTCTCACACACACACACACACACTGATGAGTCGGCGAAAGTCCGACGAAACAGTCTGGCGCAGTCATGTTTTTGCGAATATGACAACACACACATAAACACACACACACACACACACACACACACACACACACAGAGAGAGAGAGAGAGAGAGAGAGAGAGAGAGAGAGAGAGAGAGAGAGAG